GACCCTAGCCCCACAAGGCACCTCCTCCAAGCTCCGCACTCTTGTCTTTGCTTTTCCAGCCCTAAGCATAGTAGCTACTTCCTGCCTTTGTTATCTCTTACCTGAGGGACCCGGCTAATCATGGACTGAAACTTCCGCAAACTGTGAGCTAAACAAACCTTTCCTCCTTTAACTTTGGGTGTCAGGTATATTGTCTCAGCAACGAGAGAAAAGGAACTAAGATATTAAGGAACTAAGATATTACCTCCACACTCGTCAGCGTCTTTTTCTCCCTGCTACAGGGGAAAATGTGTTCCTTCAGCCCAGGCTAAATCTTCCATCGTCTCTGCTTTTTTTTATATCTCTTCCTAATGTGTCATGCAACTTTATTTCCTCCCTCCTCTCACCCCCTATGTAATAGGAGGCAGGGAATTCATATCTGTTTTGTTTGCTACAGATGTGAGAGAAAGAAAGTAATCATGGTTAGTTCCCAGATCTTTGGCGCGAGTGCCAGAGGCCCGTGTTGCTTGGAGCTGAGCTGAGGGAGGCCGGGACTGGAGCAGGTCTGGAGGGGAAGGTCTGGAGCTCACGTCGGGATGTTCAGCGTGTCAGGCATTCCTGCGGGATGCTGGAGGCCGCAGGATGTGCGAGGTTGAATGAGGAGGTCCAAGGTAGAGGGACAAGCCAGGAGTCACCATCATGGAAAAACTGTGGGTGTCCAAGGATGGAGGCTAAGAACGCTCCAAGTTCAGGGCGAACAGGAAAACCCTGGAGGAGGCTGAAAAGCGGAGCCCTAAGCAGCAGTAGGAAGAGAACCAGGAGAAAAGGTTGCAGTGAAGCTGGGAACACCACCTGCATCCAACACTGCTGGTAAAGCGCGCGAAGTGACCACAGAATTAGCCTCTGGGTTTGATGCTGCAGAGTCAACCTTGGCCGGAACGGCGTCAGCAGAGGGGCACGAAGGCGTGGCCGGAGGGAATCGGAGGGAAAATGGGTGAATGAAGGACAAAGAGACACAGCAAGGAGGATGGGTTTCTGCTGAAGAGGTGTTTTTTGGCACAGCGATCAGCCTCCGAGCTGTCACTTACTTCTGTACATTCACTCTCCAGCCGTTCTGCAGCGCAGGAGGAAAAGTGCCTGTCTCGAGCCTCCGACAGGCTGGCGCTGGGAGGAGGCCGCAGTGAGACAGCCCCGCCTGCACGCGAGCAGCCGGCCACCTCCGGGACAGTGTTCTCTGTCCGTCCGCTATGCTGGTGACAGTCAGCCTGGCCGTCAGCTCTTGCGGGCCTGGACTCGGCACCTGGCGGGCACCAGCATGACGGAGGCCCCCGGCTCCGCACTGGCCCTCCTCAGCGGCTCCTTCTCGCTGGCTGCATTGCAGTTTTATGCAGAGCTCTTTCTGCCCCCGGTGAACGTACAGAGCTGGCTGTTTCTGATACTTTCTCTTGGAACTGGGATGTGTCTATGCTGTGCTCTCTGATCAAAGCGTGAACTGGAATTATCGTGTCCATGTGAAGGAGAGGGAGGAGGGAGAGGTGTGCGTGCGTGTGTGTGTGTGTGTGTGTGTGTGTGTGTGCGCGCGTGTGCGTGTGAGAGGCAGGAAGTGGGAGAAAAGAAGAGCACAGATCTATTTCCTGCGCTGCGGCACAGTTACATGTGAAAGACGCACACAGTTCATTTTCTAGGTGTAGGTATTTTGAGATGCTCCGAAGGAAGCAGGCTCCAGACTCTCCCTCGGCCGTTATCCGGGCCTAGGAAGGAGAAAAGCTGTCAGCACAGTCGCGTCCTGGTGGATCCAGAGTCCAGGAGAGTCTTTTCCCTCGTGGCAGGGGCCAGCCCTCAGCGAGGCCTTTCCTCCAAGGTGTTCCTGGAGGCCAGACCGCAAGTTTCCCGCTCGTTTCCCCTGTGAGGGACCAGGTACAGGTGCACAGTCCCTGCTGAAGTCACCAGAGGACTGCTGTAGGAAGGGGGCTTTGCACACCTGCAGGCCCAGAAGCCTGTTGCTTTGGAGCTGACTTAGAGGATCGGCCATAGGGTTTGCGTTGCAGGGGCACAGAGGGCAAACAGTATGGTCATGAAGGGCCTGGGCATCCAGTGTGTCTTCCCGATCATCCTCAGGACTGAGGACGCCATGGAGACAGAGCCTGGGGGTAATTCGCCAAGGCCTCACCTCAGTTCCTTCTATGCAGCATGTGCACAACACGTTACAGGTGGCTCTTTATAATGAATAGTGACACAAATAAATAATGTCCTGACAATGACTGACCTCGAATCCCCAATCCTTTACATAATAAAAATAACACATGGTATAGACTCTGTTCTCTTGTGTAATTTATAAGAGGAATGCGGGGTAGGAAATTTCCTAAACTGAGCTTGTCTTTATTGTCTAGTAAGGCAACATGAACACTATACATAGGTTTATGTGAAAAATAAATGAGCCAGCTGGGCCTGATGATGCCTGCCTGAAATCCCAGCTCCTGGAGAGGCTGAACTAGGAGGATCTCACGTTCAAGGCCAGCCTGTGCAAGCAGGGCCCTGTCTGAAAGTTAAAAATAAAAAAGAAAAAGAAGTGGGGTGTAGGCTGCAGCTTAAGTGATACAGTGCCCCTGGCTTCAACTCCCAGTACAGAAAAAAAAAAGCTTAATGAGGACAAAGGCTAAATTATAAATTCCCGGCTCATGATTAAGCATTCATCATTTAGAAACAAACAAAATCTCCGAGAGGCAAGTGGAATCTTTTCATTTTGAAAATGCTTTAATAAGTGTTGACAACACTTTTGCAAAATGTAAAGGTACTATACAAATTCTTAATACAAAAAGAATAAATTAACAGCAGATTTCTTTTCAATTCTGCAACTTTGTCTACAACATACATCTTCTTTCATTGATGACAGCGGAACAGAACCCAGTAAAATCATTTTACATGCTCTACAGTCAGTTTCAGGAGCAACCTAATCTTTTCCCGTTATCAGAGTCCATTGTACACAACTTGTAATAAACTATTGACATTAATGGATATGTAAAACTTTACACCTAGTTAACTAAGCAGTAATTGGTCATCTGATAGCACCTGGGTGGGGTTCGCTATATTTGGAACTAAACTAATACTGAATGAGAACAGATTGGGATTTCAACAGTTTCAACACTCACCTGCATATAACAAAATGAAAACAAAACAATCTGGCTCACAACATAGTCTGCCGTGTGCATCTTCACCAGGCTTTGGGGCGAAACGGGACAACTTCTTACAGGTATCCAAAGAATCCAATAAGGGCTTTATATCAGACCTGGGGCTTCAGAGTCTATCTTACTTTGTTTTAAAGAAACAGGGGTATATAAAGAGTTTGCAAGTGCTTGTATGCATAACTATAGCACTTCCCACCACACCGATCCTCCGCAATCCTGTTAGTCTCAAAGGACTAACACTTATGTACATCTTCTATTAATTGAACACAGCTAAACAGTAAAACCTGTTTTACTTCATCTCCGTCTTGACTACCAGACTATCATGATGTTTGCTGGAACTGCAATTCTTGCTCCCACTCCATTCCTCTCTGCCCCTCACATCTAAAATGTAATCCAAATTTTGGGGAGGCGTCCTGTCTCTCATCCTTGTAAGGGAACTGGGGTAGAAGCTCGGTCCGATTTGCTGCACACTTGATTTCCAGTCACTGTGCATGTGGTATAATCTACAGCTGCGTAAGCTGGCCACCTCTCCACTTCCCTTTTGACTTTTCTTGTTGCACACGGTTCAGTCTGATTATTCACGTATCTTCCTTTGGGGACAGGAAAACGACCTAATGTATGATGTTTCCAAACGGGGAAGGGGAGCCCACCCCCTCCATGGACACCCACGAAACAAATCTGCCCTTGCGAGCTCTGTCAAAATGAAAGCAATGCCCACCCCCACCCCCAAGTAAATCAGGCCCCAGATTCATTCAGTCACACCACAACCACTGTCTGCTTATCCTGCAGTTTTGCCCCTAAAGTGTGCTGGGATCAGCAGTCCCTTCTGCACCCTGGAATCCCCGGCCCAGCTGTTCACTGTGCTGCGCGCACAGCCCTGACTCCCGCAGAGCAGGGTCGAGCAGGTGTGACCCGCCTGTCCCCTCCCTCGCCACGTGAGGGCTCCTGCCTGCTGTGAGGGGTCCCGCTTGACTTCCAGTGCTTTCTGAGCCACACAGGAGCGGGCGGCGGGGTTAATGAGCTCGACTGGGTGATCACTCTAACCCTCCCGGTTTGGTGGAGTCTACTATAACTCTTGCATTACCCATACATGAAAAGCACCGGTTTTCCTTGTGACGCCACAGCTAACTTTAGTTCTGCTTTCCCACAAAACCGCTCCACCCTGGCTCCTGTCCCTGGCAGTCAATGCCTTTCCAATAGGAAGCTGCAGCAGTAGAAGGCCCCCGCCCCCACCCCACGTGGCCGAGGAGCACCACACGCCACCGCCACGAGACCTCTACGTGCCCTGCAGCAGTAGAAGGCCCCCGCCCCCACCCCACGTGGCCGAGGAGCACCACACGCCACCGCCACGAGACCTCTACGTGCCATCGACAGTGACCCAACTCGGACTGTGCACTTGTTACTACAAAAGTACTTGTGAGGCTTTGAAGAGTGATGGCTTTCGGTTGTGTATTAAGCATAGCTCAAGACACATGTAAACAAGCAGCTCCCGCACAGGTTCGCTTCGTGCTTTTGTCCTCTCTGGGTACCTGCAGACCCGGGAGTCACACCACGGTGACTGACACTGTTGCAGGCGTACGGGCTTTCCAGAGCTGACGTGTTTCAGCCCTGCTCTGCCTGCCGGCTAGTAGACATGTGTAAGATCTCCCTACCTAAGGGCACAGTTGGGCTCTTTGACTAAGGGACACACAGGAGAGGTTACGTCTGAGCTCTTTGTCGCACCAGTGCTAACGAACACAGAACGAGCCACAACAGTTAAACACTTGTATGGACTGCGATGTGCTTTTCCCTCGGTTTCCCATGAAACAAGAAAATGAAATGCCTTGTGCAAAAAAATAGGTTACACTTCTAGTGGTTGCTTTAATGAGAGAGACCACTTTTGGCAATTATCACCTTGTGTTTACTACGGATCCCCAAAGGGTCTCAGGCGTGGGCTGAGCTCCCCGCACGGCCAGGGCTCCTCCCCAGGGTCTGTTTTCCTTTGCGTCCAGGCAGATGGGGATGCTGGGTGCGCAGGGCCAGCCGACTCCCTGCTGCACTGTCCCCGGTGGCTGGTTTCAAGGCTCTCAGGCGGGGAAGGAGCGGCCTGGCAGGGAGCTGCATCAGGAGAGGACGCGATTTACAGACGGTGGACTTATTTCCGCTTGGTGTGGAGAAGTAGTTAAGAATGTCAGAGACATTTCCTTGTGGAAAGAAAGTCTTCCTCTGGCCTCTTTTTTGTTTGTTTTTGTTTGTTTAATCTTTGGCAGCGTAGAACTGAGTGGGATCCTCCGATGCAGCACTGACGTGTCGAGCTCCCTTTCTCGCTCTCCCATGCCCCAAGCCGGCTCACGTAGCAATATTCCAGGGTGGGGGACAGTGAAGCCCCTGCGAGGCATCCTCTCCTTGAAGTGCCTGGCTGGCTGACGGGGCACAGGTCGGCCTTCCTTCCCGTTCTCTGCCTGTGCTGCTTGTCCTCAGGAACACCATGCCGGCCGGCTTCCCTGACAGTTCCTGGCTCGGGAGAAGCCACCGACATGCCATTGAGGATTGCTGTCTGGCCCTCTGTGGACGAGAGCCAAGGGACACACAGTGGGACCGGAACCTTCCAGAATGTCTCCTCAGTCAGGTTTTTGAGGGCGAAGGGGATGTGGAAACGAGGAGAAAGAAAGTGCTGAGGGCCGAAGCTGGTGCAGGTGACAGTGCGTCTGGGTAAGGCAAATGAGAGGCAGTGAGGTGACTCAGAATGGCGTCGAGGCGGGCAGACCGGCCGGGCTGGCTCACACGAGGGTCCCGGGCTTGGCTTTTTCCTGCCCGTACCACTGGACATCCGCTAGTTCTGGATAGAGGGAGGAATCCAGGAAGCAGCTATCACTGTAGCTCCTGTGGGGGCCAAGAAGGGAGACGTGACAGTGAGAAAGGCCTGTGTGCGGAGCACCTGTCCTGACACAGGCCTCTGGTGGCCCGAAGCCCCCTGCCAGGGAGCGTGGCTGACACTCCACAGTGCCCGGTAGGGCACACACAAAACCAGAGCACACACAAAGGGGAACCCCGGCACCAGGCCTGTGGGACAGAGGAGAACGCAAGCTAATTCTTAATGCGGTGGTGCCCAAGCTTGGCTGTGTCCTGGAGTCACCAGGGAACCTCAAGGAACCTGGCACCGGGACTCTACCCCATACACGTGGGAGTTGGCCTGGCGGGTGCTTGAGGTTCCCCGGTGACTCCCAGGTGCAGTCACAGCCAGCTGGCCCTGGGCTCTGCTCCTCAGGATGGCTTTTCCTCAGGAAAATGACTGGGTTGTCTCCTCCAGACCCGAGGGGGCCAGATTTCATGGGTGTATTTTCAGCCCATCCCAGAAAAATGTTCTAAGTGTGAGGCTTCCCTACGTGCAAGTCAGGTGACAGTCTGAACTGAGTCCCAGTGCTCATGGTTCTAAATTACGTATATGCATTGTAAAAAAGCATTTCTTTAAAATATACAGTGTGTGGGGGGGTAGCTCCGTGGAAGAGAGTGTGTTTAGCATGCACAAGGTCCTGCGTTCCATCCCTAGCGCCAAAAAATAAAATCTATAGGCAAGTTCATACAAGAAAATAAAGGCTTCCAAGACGAAAAAAGTATTTCAAGTAGGTACCGTCACTTAGACTGGATGGGGATAATTCTTAACGATTAGGAAATGAGCACATAGGTATGCTGAGGCAGTGATTATTCCTAGGGATCCCTGTGAGGGAAAAGCTCCTCTCCATCTAACGCAAACCAGCTCCTCTAATGCCTTCCCTGCAGCTGAGGTCTCCACGGCCAACCTCAGGGATACCACTGGGGATGACAGCTGGCAACAGACCCTGATCCAACAAAGCGCAAAGAAGGCGAGTGTTACATACACGAGTCCACTCCACACAGGGGATGCAGACATCATGTACTGTGGACACGTACTAGCGAAAGACTTAAAGATAAATAACTCAAACCAGATTTAAAGAGTGTGAAGAATATCTTAAACAATTTCCCGAGCCAGTTCACACTGACAATTGTCAGGCATGCTCATCTTTTCTGTCTCTCTGGCTGACTTGCGTAGGAATGAATGGATGAAGGGACTTTGTAAATGTTTCTCACCTGGCCTAAAACAAAACAGAACAGAACAGAACAGAACAAACCCCTGAAAACTAGCAAAGTCCAAGGCATCTGCGGGTCCCGGTAGATTTTAATGAGTCTTGAGCTTGGATCACTGTGAACACACTGGGTTAATCCTGCGTGACTGTGGCTTCAGAAGTGAAAGCCCCAAAGGCCTCAGTTACAGAACGAGCCACGGTGTTTCTGTATTTAGGTGGTGAATGGATGATTCTGTCACATCCGCCTGCAAACATTCTCTTCATCCCGATGCACAGGACCAGACCGGACTTTCACAACGCGCCCAAGGGCCTGAGAAACTAAGGGAAAGACGGCTAGCGGGCCCTGCAGGCACCACAGCACTCCCCGGGTCAGGATCCCAGCCACGGCCCCTCCCTCACAGCTACAAACGTGGGCGTGGGTCCCGGGTGTGCCAGTGGGTGCTCAGCCAGTCGCTGCTCAGAGACAGTGAGGCTTGGGCCCGTGGCTTTGAAACTGCAAGGGTGTTGGTTCCCTTATGCATGAAGCTGCCGGGAGCAGAGCTGTGGCTGGGAAAAGAACCGTGGCGCCTGGCCCGGTTTCGCCTTCCCAGCTGCACTTGCCACCACACGCTCTTATTCGCTCAAGCTTGCTGAGCTGCTCTCGTTTTGATACGCAACTAATACCAACACATTTAAGTAGTTTCTTAGAAACACAAGTTTGTTCCGGATACAAATGTGGTCTGAACTTCTCCGAGACAAACCTGGCCTTCGGTGCTGGCTGAGCCACCTCTGATCTGGGCAGTTGGCCAGGCCACACCCACCACCACGGCAAGTGGAGCCGGGGCTCACACCCACCCAACCCACGCAGGTGCGGTGGGAGTGAGTGTAAGGTCTCGGGGGAGGAACGGCAGCAAAGCGACTGTTACACATTTTATAAATGGACTCGTCAGTGTGTGTCTCACCAATGGCTCAACTCCTATCTTACTGAATGCTGAGCAACTCTCTCTCGCCACCACTTGCTAATAACTGAGAAATAAGATTTAAGTTACTAAACCAACTGGCGAGACACTGACTGGTGCTGCAAGGGGCACAAAGCCAGGGCGATGGACTGGGCTTGTACATGGGCTTGTGCTGCTGCTCAGCACTCATGCAAAAGAATCATTTCAAGCTGACTGGACCCAACAGTGTCTTTCAGAGCAACCGAATTCTCATCACTGCTGCCTTAGCCTCCAGCTCCCTCGGCAGGGGGTTCTGTCCCCAGACTGGCAGGAAAGGGCAATTGCTTTATTTAAAACGTGTTGCACTCACGATGCAGCCCTCCCTGGGTCTCCTCTCTCCTCCTGGGGATGAGGCGCCCGGCTTCCTCTCGGAGGCTGGGCCCTGCTTTGCTCCTCCCCGCCTGGGAACTGTACAGTGCTCACGGCTCTCCCGATCTGTTCGTGATCCTGATCACCTACTCCTCAGGCTGCAGTTCGGCTCTTTCTCTACAGTGAAACAAGACTGCCGTCCCCGAAGCAGCCACACTTGTTTCTGCACCTGTGCTTGGGCCCGTGGGTGGCCTCTCTCCCTGTCACCCATGTAGCAGCCCCTGCCGTAATCCTTCCGGGCCAGGGTCACGGAGCATGGACTCTGAGGCGAGCCCTCTCATCTCCGAATCGGTAGCATTTTGATTTGAACTCGCAAAGCCCTTAATATAGACATAGCTGTTTCTTATTCCCCATGCCCATCCCCCCCGATAGATTTTCAGACTACTGACTTGAACTTCAACTGCGGTCTCTAGCGGGGTTCCTGGAATGTAATATGGAATGTGTGTTTTTTTAAAATCTAATAAACTTACAACTTTTTATCCACTTGTGCATGGTGTCCTGGTCTTTGTAGGTATCCTCTGAAACACCATTTAATTTCAATACCATGCAATCAGTAAGTCAGCCTTTAGGGTCCCCAGGGCTGGGAATCAGACCAGGTGTCAGCGATGTGCCAACTCAGTGGGCACTTGGTTCTGCAGCCAGGGTGGTGCCCGGCAGTCACCACGACGGGCTCTCAGGCAGTGCTGGTGCTGATCTACAGACAATCTGCAGAGTGGGCTCTGCAGCGTCTGGGACAGCACGGGGCTGTCATGCAATTATCGGTGACATCTGGGTGCTTCCGGATGGACTCACTGTGACCTTGGCCCTTCAAAACTTAGACTACAGTGACACTGCTCTCATGGACACAGATTACTAAGCCAGCAACAAACTTCTACAACTATGTACGCACACTGAGGCTGGGAAGGCCTGGCACACACTTTGGGAGACTTTCGTGGGGAGCAGCATCGGGAATATCCAACATCTGATGTAAGAACATAGGAAAAAACACAGAGTTCCACACAGATCCAGAAATCAGACATAAACCTAATGGGTTCCAGAGCCCCGAGATGTTTCCTCCCAGAAATTATGACACGGGTACAGGCAGCACATCTGCAGCACGGGTGGGAGCACAGACGCATGCGCGGGGAGGGCACAACGTTCCCTTACGGTACCTCTATGCATCGGTACTTTGGTGAGTTGGAGACTCAGACCCATCCATGATGGGTGAGTTTTCTGTCGCTTCTCTGGACAAAGGAGAGCAAAAGAGGAAGAGAAGAGAGGTCATGTTAGAGAGAGGAGTCAACACAGACGTAATTAGTAGCTTATTCACACTGCAAAGACCCATGGTTACACATCAGGTGTCAGTGCAGAACCGAGCTAGGAAGAACCGTCGGTCCCCGTGACTGCACCCTCTTTAGTTTTATTAGGAAGGCAGGCGTTGGCCCTCTGTACCCACGGTCCCATTTTCTTATCGCAGAGACCTTGTGTGTTGATGAGAGTTCAGCTCAAGCTTCTAAAAGTTACTTCAAGGATCCAAATACCTCTTTGTTTTAAATTTGTCTCGAGTCCTCGCTAGCTACAGATGGTGAAACAGGCACATCTCAAGGCCCGTTTTAAGTGTGAGGGAGGTTATAAATTAGAGAGCCTATGGTCAGTCAAATAACCGAACCAAGTACTGGATCGGGGAGACTGGGCACGATACAGAAATCTCGAGATCGGAAGTGTCATACTGGGCTGAGACGGGTCAGCTGCTGTAATTCTTTGATCCGTCATTCTTTCATGAATCTGGGGGAGACCACTGCCTTGCCACGGCTGCCTGGTCACAGGCTAGCGCTGGGGGGAGTGGGCAGTGTGACGTGAACGGACTGCTGTAGAGACAAGGGGGCAGGAAGAGAAGCAGGAGTGGGTACAAGAACACCAACAAGATGACAGATTCTCTTCATTCAGAAGGAATGAGAGGCAGCACGGGAGAGTTCTGTGGCTGCCACACTTAGGGGGATGTCAGGGGACTCTGATTCTGTCAGGGCACTGAGAATTTTCACTTCTGAGAAGACTCCACGCTGCTGGCCTCATGCTACTGCTGCGGGGTCCACACTTTAAGGGCCACTGGCACAGGGGAAAAAGACAAAGCTTGAGGTCACAGACTCCAGAGGCGGGACCCGGGGCAAGGCTGTTATGTTCTCTGATCGCTAGCTATAAAGTCGAAAGATCCAGGTATTCTTTTCACAAGGGGACAGTGAGGATTAGACGAACTCGCGGGTGCCGGACGCAGCGCTCAGCCTCTCCGTGCACCGCAAGCACGCGGTAATGCTGGCTCCCGCCGCCCCACGACAGACTAAGGGTTAGAGAGCCTGCAGTGAACGCGCAGAGAAACCCAGGAACGGAAGGCCGTGTGGCAGCCTCAGTGCAGTCACGGAGCTGACCTGGGTGGTGGGTTCTCACGGTGCAGCTCACAGACAGCTGTCACCTCCTCCCAGACGTCCCCTCGGTGCTCCAGAAAATGTGAAGCCGAGGATTACACCAGACACGGGGGCTCCTTGCTCCTCTAACCAACGGTTTGCTAAAGGTAGCACCCACTCAGAGGTGGTGACCAAGAGGCAGGAGAGGCACGTGTAGCACAAAGCAGCTACCCGGCCCGCAGGACCTACGAGACTGCGGCTTCCCAACTGGGTGCAGATTCTGAGTATCGAGCCTACACCTAAAGCCGCAGAAGGAAGTGGCTTTCTGTTTCATTTTTCTGTGGGCAGCTTTTGCTTAAAGATCTCAAGGTCCCTGGTCCCCTGCCTGGGTGTGATGAAGAAGAAGTGCGTGGCCCGGAAAGAAGCCTTTTTGTTAAGCTGCGGTGTGGTCCTCAAGACCGGGAGAAGGCGGGCAGTGTGAGCACAAGGAGCAGCTTCGCTCGCCGTCTCCCCCTCTGACATTCCCAGTCAGCCTGGGAATCACCTCAGCTCCACTGACCGCACTCCGGAATTCTGACCGAAGAAACACAGCCCCATCTCCGCTTCCGCTTCCCCACGCCTCGAGGGTCACCGCCTGCTTCAAACACAGCACAGCAAGTTCACCCCCAAAAGGACAGGGAGGCAAAAGGAGTAGGGCAGACGGTGATGACAGTTCACCGAGGTTTCTCCCGGGAGGGAGAAAGTGGTGGCCTTTCTCATTCATTTGCGGACACATCCGTCCTTCCGTCAGTCCTTCTGTCACCAGGAATGCTGGTGACGCTTCCCGGCTGACCGGTCCAGAAGCTGGAAGAGGAGGCGGGTGGAGGACCCGGAGGGCGGACTCACCCGGTCTGCCAGGCTAGGGTGTGGTGGGGACTGCTTGGGGGGGTGGCTCCAATTTCACTCGCCGGCGTTGAGCTTCTCTGGCTTTGAGGTAAGGCAGCTGCAGGGGGGTGTTGGGGGAAAGGCAGGAAGAAGAACGTCAGACCAGACGCAGGACCTACGCCACCCGGGGCTGGGCGTCACCATAGAGGCATCACCATAGGGCCTGCGGCAGGCTCCGGCGGTCCCAGGGCGTAAGCACGGCGGGGAGACTACTCTGCGCCCGTCTCTTCCACACCCCACCGCCTCTCCCCAGCACCAGGTACCCCCACGCGCACTAGGGCTGCCTGCGGACCCTCCGCCCCTGCTTTGCCACAGGAAGTGGCCACAGGGATGGAGACGCTGCCCAGGACCTGAAGCCACTGTAGGCCCTGGGGGAGGCAGGCAGGGCGAGGCTCGGAGAGGGAGGCGCAGCCCAGGGCATTTTCAGGTCAAGAGTTTGCTCCTCTGCACGGAAAAGCCCCAAGGCAGCCCGGGAGCGCACTCCCTGCTGTTCAGGCTCACAGGCTGCTACTTCTGTGCACCTCAAGGAGGTAGCGCTTCCAGCAGATGGTCGGAGCCGGGCCCCTGGGAGCCCCTGCTGTGGGCAGCACAGGAGTCTGGCTGGGAAAGGCAGCGGGGGAAACGCTGCTATACGTGGGCTCCCTCCGCTTTCCTGGCCATGGACTCCCTCTCCCAACTCGGGCACAGCTTCTTCATCAAACAAAAAAATAAAAGGTTTTTTGCTACTGAGGACGGAAGCCAGGGCCTCCCACGTGCTAAGCAGGTGCTCTACCACGGGGCTCCATCTGCCTACTGATGCAGCTTCTTCAAATGATCAGTCTGAAATAGGCTCCAAAACAGCGACCTGCACTCTTCAAGTAAAGCCAGTCTACTAGATGAACACCACAGTTTGCTGGAACGTAAGTACTCCTTCGAACTGCTGTGACTAATAGGGTCAGGGAGAGCTTCCCACCCCCATCCCTTTGCAATTTGCAATTGAACGCAGGGCTTTGCACCTGCTAGACCAGCACTCTGCCACTGAGCTACATCCCCAGCCCTTCCTTACTATTTTGAGACAAGATCTCACTACACATTGCCCACGGTGGACTTGAACTTGTGATCCTCCTGCCTCAGCCTCTGGAGTAGCTGTGGTTTCAGATATGGGCCACTTTTCTTGGCCCATTATGCCCTTTAAACGGTACATGCAGTGTACCTACTCTCATCTCTTCTTGGGAAGTCAATGGCCAATACACTGGGCTAGTTTTATAGAGATGGAAGACACACGAAGAAGTCTGTAGCATATTGGCACACTCATGATTGCCAAATTGGTTTTACTTCCGTCTCTGGAGCTTGTCCTTTGGCCAGTGTGCCGTAAAAAATGTCAGTGCAGGTTAAAGGCAGAAGCCCAGGGCCTGGTGGACCTGGGTGGCTAGTTTGTCCTTCAAGACCCCAACAACTTCCTCCAGTCCCTGTTACACTTTGTGTTTAGATGTTCCCCCAAAGCCTCATGCACTTTTCGATGAGGCTTTCTCGGAGGCAGCTGAATCTAGAGTGTGGGACGGATTCATGGTCCAATGCTGGGATTGAGGGTGCTGAGATGAAGGATGGGTGATTGCTGATCAGTCCACTGATTGGATTGGCACAGCCCTAATCCCGGTAGACTGGTATAGGGGACAGAAAGAGGCTTGTTCCTCCCCTTTCTTGTTGCTTTTGTTGAATTCCATCCCCATGAACAGCTGCCCTCTGCCATTGGCCACCCTGCCTTGGAGCCAGCTGGTTATGGACTGAAACCTCCACAAACTGTGAGCTAAATAAACCTTTCCTCCTTTAACCTTGGGTGTCGGGTATTTTGTCCCAGCGACAAGAGGCGGTAACTACGACAGTCCCCGAAGACACCCCACCTCACAACCTTTCAGTGACTCCTCTTCCCCTGCTCTGCGCTTTTATTCAGGTGAGTCAGTTCCTGACTCGGAGTTCCTCTCCTTCCTTCTCCCATTCTGTTCTTAAAATGTTCATCATTGCTGCCTCAGAGTCCTCCCCACTCTCTCTGCCCACAGTAAACAGGTTGCAGAACAACCCTGCACTGCTCTCCAAGAGAGGTGCAAGCGAGCTGACCACAGCAGCACACGCTAACTTCGAAACCAGGGCTGGTTACTGCCGCTGCTGTTTCACAGAGAAGCTGCTGAAACTTCCAAAGGGCAAGCACATTTTTAAACTTGATTCAGTGATTGCTCAGTGCTCTGAGTACAAAGCAACAGGGCAGCCGAGTGAGGTGGCACACGCCTATAATCCCAGCACTTGGGGGAGGCTGAGGCAGGAAGATCCCTGCAAGTTCAAGGCCAGCCTGAACTGCAGAGCAAGACCCTGTCTCAAAAATATATGGATACAAAGGTCAAGCTCTGATTATGAAAATTCTCAGATATAATATCCAGGGTATTGGAAACACTATAAAAATTACTTTGTGGTTGTATCATAAAGTCACTGAAACGGAAGCACCAGGTAGGATCGGTCAAGAGCTACCTGTGTAGGTGCCAGCGTATACCCCCCTCTTCCCCTCGACACGGGTGTCGCACCAACTTAAGTTTCTCCTTAGCGGGCCAAAGATCCACCTTGGATTGGATACAGCCCCAGACACAACGCCCCGGGACGTCTGGCCTTACTCGGAGCGGGCAGAGAGCTGGCTCAGCCCCGCGTTACTCCGAAGACCAGAGTCAGAACGGGCGGACAGGAAGGTCCCGGGACCCCTGACTCCGGCCCTCCGTGCGAGGTCCAAGCGCAGATGCGGAGTCTCTTGGCTTTTCGGCTGCACCGCGGGAAGGGGACGGCCTGGTCCGCACATAGACTAAAAGCGACAGGCCGGCTGGAGCTCGGAGGCCCCTCGGGCGGCCGGGCCGAGCATCAC